AGAGCAGGTAGAGAAAGAGGTACTTTTCTCCCTTTCTCACAATACAAGAACTCGTGGGCACTCCATGAAACTGCTGAGCAACTGGGTCAGAACAGATGAAGTCCTCCTTCACCCAAAGAGTGATTCACACATGGAATTCACTGCCACAGGAGGTGGCGGCGGCTACAAGCATGGACGGCTTCAAAAGGGAATTAGATAGGCATATGGAGCAGAGGTCCGTCAGTGGCTATTAGCCACAAGGTATAGCTAGGGACTCTGGGGCAAGTGATGCTCTGTCTTCTTGGTGCTTGGGGGGGGTCAACAGTGGGAGGGCTTCTGATGTCCTGGCCCCACTGGTGTACCTCCTGATGGCACCTGGTATTTCTGGCCACTGTGTGATACAGAGTGTTGGACTGGATGGGCCTTTGGCCTGATCCAACATTGGCATCTCTTATGTTCTTACATTCTTATTGCTGGATATTGCTGTAGCGTTGTGCTTGAAGAATCATGTGTAATTGGATTTCCCTTCGTGGGCAAGACGATCCAAGAGGTGAATTATTGCTGTTGTTGGAGAGTGATAGCAGAATAGCCAGTGTTGTGTGGATTCAGCCTAAGGGTATCAGATTCCTGGGCCTGGGTCGCTGTAGGAGCCTACTACAGGCCATAACAACAGAAGTATTGCTCTACACAAATAACTTGTTTGTGTTCTTCTGAATGTGAGGGGAGGAAGCCCAGAGGCAGTCTTTGTCTAGGCGTCCAGAGTGGATCTCAGCATCCTGTTGAGGATGTGGGCAGGAAGTCTGGGTAACATTAAAGGCCCAGGCTCCTAGTGTTGGGGCTAGAAGAATTGCGGTAAGAAGTATGGATCTCCACAGCCTTGGGAAAATGCCTTTGCAGTACTGAAGAGGCTGGATTGAGGGCATATGGAGACTTAAAGGTAAAGCTAAAGGTTCCCTTGCTCAAAAGTCAGTCGAGTCCGACTCTAGGGTTGCGGCGCTCATCTCCGTTTCAAAGCCGAAGAGCCAGCGCTGTCCGAAGACATTTCCATGATCACGTGGCCGGCATGACTAAACACCAAGGCGCACGGAACTCTGTTACCTTCCCACCGAAGTGGTACCTATTTATCTACTTGTAATTTCTTGCTTTCGAACTGCTAGGTTGGCAGGAGACTTACAGGGGACCAAAAAAAATAGCCTTTAGAAAGAGAAGAAGAGAAGAAGAAGAGATTTATACCCCGCCCTTCACTACCCAAGGGAGTCTCAGAGCGGCTTACAAACTCCTTTCCCTCCCCCTCCCCACAACAGACACCCTGTGAGGTAGGTGGGGCTGAGAGAGCTCTTGACAGACACTGCTCTTTTTCAAGAACAGCTGTGCCAGAGCTTGTGACTGACCCAAGGTCACATCAGCAGGTGCAAGTGGAGGAGTGGGGAATCAAACCCGGTTCTCCCAGATTAGAGTCCGCACACTTAACCACTACACCAAACTGGCTCTCTCTACACCAAACTGGCTCTAATTTATCTCTTCCATTCTCTTCCCCCTCCCCCATTTTTCTGTTTTCCTGTGAAAACCAGTTTGGTGTAGTGGTTAAGTGTGCGGACTCTAATCTGGGAGAACCGGGTTTGATTCCCCACTTCTCCACTTGCACCTGGCTGGATGGCCTTGGGCAAGCCGTAGTTCTGATAAGAGCTGTTCTTGAAAAAGAGCAGTTTCTGTCAGAGCTCTCTCAGCCCCACCTACCTCACAGGGTGTCTGTTGTGGGGAGGGGAAGGGAAAGGAGTTTGTAAACCGCTCTCCCATGGGTAGTGACGGGCGGGGTATAAATCCAATCTCTTCTTCTGTGAGGATTTTTCCAACTATAATTTATTAATTTTTTTAATTGAAATAGTTATACCTTGTCTTTCATCATGGTTTACAGACAGTGGGTGCAGGGAAGATGGAGAATGGGGGGAGGCAGTTCTGGTCACCACACCTTAAAAAGGATATTATAGCAGTGGAAAAAGTGCAGAAAAGGGCAACTAAAATGAAGTACTTTTCTCCCTTTCTCACATAACAAGAGCTCCTGGGCACTCAATGAAATTGCTGAGCAGTCAGGTTAGAACAGATAAAAGGAAGTACTTCTTCACCCAAAGAGGGATTAACACATGGAATTCACAGGAGGTGGTGGTGGCTACAAGCATGGATGGCTTCAAGAGAGAATTAGATACACAAGAAAGGGGACCCATGAAACCCGCGGGGGGG